GCCACGGGGCCCCCCCTGGCTAGGGTTTTGCTTTAGGGCTTTTGCTTAGCGCCTTCCCGTGCCTTGTTTGCCTCTTTGCGCGTTTCGCGAAGCGACTGCGCTCGTCGGTTCTGCCTCATGCCGTCGCGGGTGTACAGCTGAGGTTTTTTTCCTTCTTAGAAGGTTTTTTCCTCTTTTCACGCGCCGCGCCACAGGGCCAGGCAGCAATGCGATGCGCACGTGCCTCTTTGGAAGTCCCGTACCCCGAAGGGCCTTGTAAAGTGGCGCGTGCCCACAGTAGTGGTGCTCTTGCAGTGATGGCTTGTGACGCACATATCCCTGGGCCATGATTGGCCCCCTGCCCATTCTGCGCTGCACCAATCCCTAAAGCCGCAAACTGCATTCTGATCTTGAAGGTGTCACAAGCCTGGAATTCAAACCTCAAAGCCTTACTTAGATTGCCAGTCTTTGCCAAAGGAGTTCCTGTAGGGGGCCCGTACGCTGGGATCCAGGGAAGGGGAAGCAACCCGAAACCAAACAAAAATAAAACAACCGAACCCCGCCCCACCCCCCCACCCCCCCAACAAAAAAAGAGTTGATCCTATCTAGACAGCTGGTAGCGCATGATTGTTACATGTCCCACTAATTATTCGCTTTTTCTGTTAAGAACCGAATAATCCGAGGAGAAGCCTAAGATTCTTGGAGGCAAATTTTGGATGCCCGCTTCTCCCCTTAGCCCTACTCCTAAACCTTCAGAAGCCCGCCAGCTTTAGGCGGTATCAGGACGCTGGGACATGACCTTGCCTGCAGTGCGATGCGCATGCTGAAGCCCTGAAACTTGATGGCCCGATAATTCAAGAACAACAAAAGCTCAAAGCCCAAAATCTAAAAGCCTGAACCCTGAAGCTAAACTGCCTTAAACGCTCAACCCTACTTGAAAAGGCAGGGGGGACTTAGCAAGTATGCTTGTCACGTAAACCCTGTTCAAGCCATGAGTGGTAACGACAGCCATCCTTAGTACTTACCTACCTAGCACGTAATTATGTAAGCCCCCATGACCCTCCAACCCAACTACAATAGAAGGCATGGCCGACGCAACCTACATAAACTCAGCTTCCACTTCATGTTTGTTGTTATTTGTTTACTTGTTTCTCCGTTATTCCCCTTAGAGCCACCCTCAATTAACCACAGCCTGACAAGGAACGAAGGAAGGGATGCCGGTAGTAGTCCATACGGGTTTAGGATTTAGGTATACATAACCCTGAGTATTTTCATAGTTTGCATTTTCTTTTCTCTAAGGCCTAAATCTTCGATGGTAGTTTCCACTTTCTTTTCCACAACCACTCCCGCTAACCGGAGGTAAGCCAAGTCACCACTCAACCCTAAACGCGAGCTCCTCAACCTACCTCAACACAATCCTGTAAGAACTGCCGATGCCTAGAATTGTGAGATATCCTCAAGTAACCCTTCAGCCTCAGCCGCTATTGAGGATAGAGAACCAGCGCCTTTCCAGCTCCGTAGCCGGGCTCCTGGGCCAGGGTTAGGATTGAAGGTATAGGTTTGGTTTGGGGTTCAGGGTATGGGGTATAGGGCTTAGGACTTAGGATTGCAGGTCAAGGACCTGCCTTTGTGTGCAGTGCTTGCAACCAGCAGTGGAACAAATCTTCCCATCGCACACTGCCGGCCTAGCATGGCTTCAAGAAGATCAGCCGTCCTGCAGGGTGCCTCGTTCCACTTCAACATGTTCCCTGGACGTTCATGAGGATCCCTAGCTTGACGCAGCAGGGGTTGTACCCACGGATGTTCAGTGCTCCAAGCTAGCTTCGTTTGCCTTTCTTTTTGAACGTGCACATGCGCATGTATTGATACGTTACCCCAGTTTTGAATAACGCTAAAAGCCTTAGCAGTAGGTCTACTTAATACGCTCCATGAACTTTTAAGCGCAAACGATGTTAACCATGTTACAACGACCCACCCAACAAGGCACTCGTAGCTCTAAGAATCCGAAAGAATTCCCAATCTGCTACACAGCCATGTCACAATGTCGGTAGGCAATGGTGGCTTGGAAAAGTAGCAATGGCTACTTCGTCATTCAGGTACGGACTAATGAGTTCTGACTTGCGAGCACCAGCGTAGGGGCACTTGTCCAAACAAGATCTCCTCAAGCTATTGGTAAGATAGAAAAGGGTTAGGCCCCAAGTAAAGGCGCTGTGGTTTAGGAATCCCCCTTCCCATTACCACTGTGGAATTGGGGACCCTGGGGTCCTGGTGAAACGGTTCAGTTTACCCTTGAAATGCACCCGGTGGGCTTCATTTTACAGCGGAGAGATATCAATGCGGTATGCCTTTGCGAAGGGGATGCGCAGGAGGTGAGGCGGGTTTCTGCTGATAAAGCCATGCTTCAACCTTCAAAAGTCCTCTTAAGATGCCCCTGTGACCGTCTCTTCCTAGTAAAATCGGGTTCATAGGGTTGATCCTGAATGCAAAGGGGAATGTTTAGGCTCCTGCCCCACTTACTGCCATGCCCTGTGTGTTCCTACTGCACCCTGTATGTTTTCCTCGTAGCTGGCCGCTGCGCGTGGCGCTGAGGGCTGTTTTGCGTCATGGTTTTTAGGTTGCGGAGTGTGGCCCTTCGGCGCTCCCCCCTCGTAGCAAGACTGGCGGCCGGCATGAGTTCAGCTGTGGCTGAGCATTGAAGTTGGAATTCAGCCCTACATGTCGAGACATGCCGAGAAGATAGAAGAAGCCCTTTGGTAAGCCCCGTTGAAACACAGCATGCTTCATATGCAAGTGCGTAAGTGTCTTCCAAAATCATGGTCTCTGTCCCGGGGGGGGAGGGGGGGGGTGAGGATTCCGTAATTTCAGCGTATGCGCAGTTGGGACCAAGTTGCTATCACATATCCTCCAGGGGAAGAAATCATGCGTGTGTACCAAGAAGAAGCGTCTCTATACAGGATTGTGAAGTTCAATCTGCATCTGCTCGGATTGTCAAACAGGGTCCAGGTATGACACAAAATTTGGCGGCATATAAATAAATCTAAATCGTCGGCCCAAATTTGCCATGCGCTTCGCAGACCATGCGCCTAGCGATGCAAATAGGCCTTGCTAAAGCTCAAGAGAGACATCCCTGATCCCTTCCTCCTTATCTGAAACACCTCCCCACCCCCAACATTGAATATAGCCTTGAGGGAATGTTTTTGGTACTGAGCGGGGGTTAATACCACAAGGAAGTGAATCCGTAAAATTCAAGCTTCTCCACTGGCAGTGCGTTGCTGAGGCATGGACACGCATCGCTCGCACAGTCCTGAGCTACTCCCGGGGATATTTTCAAGCACACATCGCGCAGCCAAGTACCATCT